AATATCTTTTGGACAATACGGGGGAAATCTTAATGAAGTAGGGAAGCGGAGATTAATTGTGGAGACTGGGATAATAGTAGTAGATATACCTTGTATTATTTTTTAACTTGCCGCCAAGATAATTTTGATCAGTGGTAATGATACTTCATTGCCTTCAGTTGGATCGTACAAAAAGCAAATTCAGGTGAACGGAGAATATTAATTGAAATTTTGCCAATATGTGGATTTGATAGTCAAATTGATGATGCATCCACATATCCTGCTACTATAGGGCATATAAATTCAAACGTCCAGTTTGGGTGAGCTCACTGTATATTAATTGCGCTATACACGTTAACTGGTCCGAAAACTTTCAACGACTGATCTGAACTCTCGTTTCTTTCTCGAGTGCAAAAAATTATTCATCCAATAATGATTTCAATTATGGGTATCACCCTAGCTTTCTCAATTAATTAATTTTCTTCCACCACCAAGACAAACTTATTCACCACTGATAGCGATTGAACAGCTCCCCCATCCCGCTGGGTATCCCCAGTGAGACTACCTATATGATGGGCTCAACCCTAGGAGATTGGCCTCTGTGACTAACACCTCGCATATACACTCGCATTCCTTGGCCAACACCAGCCACCTCTGCACCACGCGGAGGATCATTCCACATGCTGCAGAAGACCTGCATACAGTTTCTGAATATATAAATGAGTTTGTTACTATGCGTTGTATTGAAATAACAAATAACAGGAATCATAATTAACAACTTTAAAACAATACTAGTCGTTCGATATCTGAGGTAAAGCAGTGTCTAGCGCGGTTAGTACTTGGATGGGTGGCCATTCAAGGAAACGCAGCGTAAGCCCGCACATCTGGAGAGAAATAGCATATCATAGCTACAGGTACCATATCAACGACCACAAGATATGGTACGGATATGCCGTCCTTTAGAGAGGACGTTATGCCGGTGGTCCCGAGGCCATGGATGTTGCACTCGTTAAAGATCCCTACAACTGATTGGAACACCAGAGTCCGACCGTTTTACTGCCATCCTAGAAAGTGCCTAATGGGCCAATAGAAGTTATCTCTTCAGAAATTATCTACTGAAATCATTCAATTGGATAAAACCAATGAACGAAGCAAACATCATGAATGGTTACCTATAGGCTAAATTTCATTGCACCTAACCGTTAACTGAATCAACTAATTCGATTGGTTACCAATGAAACATAGATATTGTGTACTTTGTGGGAATGGTGGTCTCGACATTGTCATATCAGGCATGCTGAGTTGGGCTTTTCAGAGAAAATGTAGGATTGGGATTCAGAGAAGATGATAACGCGGTATATGGAGAGTAGTGGATACTCCATCCACCACCAAATGGAGCAATCTGCCTGAGAGAAAACTTGATAGAAGAAGGCATAACTGAGGTAGTAAGCCATATAATGGGGGTTCGAGAACATGTCCTTGATAAGCAGAGTTAAATGTTTTCGATATAACCAACCCCACAGCTTGTCATGCGTAACGTGAGCAAATGTTGATCTCCGATGACGAATGTGGATTGCTTTCCCATCACTTAGGCCTATGATTGCTGGGCAAAGTTTTCTTCCCTCTTTTGGGAGTTAGTTGAACTCTTGCTATTTATTAGCTGGATGGTGCGCTCCCGACTTGTACAAAATTGTAAATGTCTTGCAGAGAATTGGTTTCAAGTGTATTTCACACCGTTGGCCGTTTCGAGGCCAAGGATGTCACATCAGCATATTGTGTGTTGTTTCAATTCACACTTTTGTGTTCTTGCTTATCCAGGGAAAAATAAATCATATTGAGACCCAGGATTGACAAAAAATAATCGAACTTGTAAAACACGTTTGGCGGCGCGTCAATTTCACTGGCCAGGTCTGTGTAGTGGGATCGTTTTGGGTTAGAGCAGGATCGCCTTGGCAGTGTCGGGATAGGCAGCAGGAATGTCTCCGGGTCGCTTATATCCGTCGGACTATGCCATAATTAAACGATTTGTTCGGAGCTCCGTTCGACAACCGTGTTCATTAGGTCGATTAAGTTGTTCGAGAACAGCCTCGGACGCAGCCACACACAATTACCCTCGACACACAAGCATCCGCCATCTTGCGTGGGGAGGAATTCCAAGAGGGGACACTGGTAGTAGGCCCTATGGCCAGAGCCCCAGGGCCTACTACCAGTGCTGCCGGTCGCAATTATTTTTGCTGCGTACTGAAATTCCCATAGGAAAGGTACTAAAACGTACCGAAAGATGGCAACGAATAAAATACATAGAATATACCGAAAAAGCGATGATGACTTCAAGGGTGAACTCATTTCTGCATAGAATGATAGAAAAGGACAAGTCATGACGTTAAAACTGGAGGAAAACATGTCCAACTTTCAATCTATGCCAGGAGTTAGGAATGTTTTCTCCCAGTTTTATCGTCATTGTCACGTCAGATAAAGACCTTGAAAACCGCCACAGTAGTTTAAGTTGAGATGTTCATAGGAATATGGTTTCCATGGTTACCTTGGTCAAAAACTGACGACACTTATAAGGTTCATAGAAAATCCGTAAGAGGCGCTGATATCGTCATATTTCTAATGGACATTGGACCAAATAACAACAATCACGACAAAAAAATACAGAAATGGTGTAAGTACGTTCATTTTCTGATAGTGTTTGATGAAATTCTTATGATTGAGCTCCTATTTCCATTTTGAAGAGAATTCGTACAGCGACATCTATCAGAATGAGATGTAACAAGAACCTTATATTGCGATTTTCAACTGTTTATTGTCGTCAAGTTTGGGAAAGACAAAAGCACATCAGTGCAATAAACAACATATATTAATTACAAGCTATAAACAGTTCATAGGTATGTCACAGTTCAGCTTCAGCTTATGCACATAGCAAAAAATTTTAATAAAATGTGCTCACTGTTCACATGAAAACATTGAAAAGGGACAGTGACAGTCACATTCAGTTGAAATTCAGGTGTACTAGGTCTTCTCGAAACCACATTTTTCACTAGTGATTTTACCACCACTGTTCTCCACACAGCATAATATGGTAAATTTAGCAATGTCATATTTTTTTCATGTTATTTGGTCATGAAAGAAGCGATTTACTCGATCCATGGCATTCTAGATCGAAAAATAAAAATTGAAATAAAAATGGCTTCATCTGTCAAATATTGACAAGTGAGGTATTCTTGGATTCAGAATGTCATTCCCGATCGAAATAAGGGAAAATATTGATATTGAAAAATCGAGAATTGGGGTCCATTTCCGGTCAAACCGGAAGTGAGGCAAGGAAAGTTAATATGCCAAAAAATGTAAATTTGGCTATGAGACACAACGACACAACCCATGAATTTCGTTTTTTCATCTTCAATAATTAAAAACTTATTGGGGTGAGCCACCTTGAAAATTACCCGGTATAAAGACTAATCGGTAGGAGAGAAAACCCTATGAAATCTATAGAGAAATGAACATTCCATTCCACCTCATCGATTATCCAACAGACAGTATCACTACTTGATCATCAATATATTTTCTCAATTTTTCTTATTCGGCGATTTCCATCACGTCTCAAAAAGGTAGGGAATTTTTTGCACGAGAAAATGCGAATATCCGACATATTCTATCGAATATATCCGGATCAGTTGGTATATAAAGAAATATTCAACAATATGTAACATTTCACAGATCTGGAAAAGTGGCAATGTATTTCAACAAAAAGGAAGGTCAGTTGGAGTAGGTTACTATGATATTTTTCAGGGGCCATTTGCATAAAGCGTTCAATGTTAGATATAGGGTGATGGAATTTGAAAAAAAAATCGTATTTTGCGAATATCTCTAGAACCGTTTATCGCACAGAAAACAGCTTTCATTGCAATAAGCTATGTTTTGTGCGGAATTTATTTATTTTCAAGTCATAATTGGTATAAAGACTTTGAAACGGTACTGAGTGTTTTTCAAAAAAAAATCAACTTTTCTTGAAATAGTGTTCTCTTACTAACTAAACAAAATGTATCTGAACTTTAGAACTAGTAAAAGCGAACGTTGACTTGATATTGCAAAATTAAAAAAAAAGGGAACAAATCATACTCAGTTGAATCAATAATTGTTCGGAATGTCCGCGGTTAGCAGCAATTCATCAGAAAATTGACCATAATTTTCAACTAGGCAATACAAAACTGGACTTTTTCCAGTGTCGTAGAAGTTGCGGACCAAGACACTCACTACCCTTTCAAAATATTCACGAATTACGACTTAAAAAAAATCATCCACAAAACATGAATTATTATGAGTAGAAATTGCTTACAAAAGCTGTTCCAGAGATATTCGCGAAATACATTTTTTATTTCAAACACCCTGTATCTCGAAAATGGTGCATTTTGGGTAAGTTGATGGACACTTTTCCTCTTATATTTGGACGAGCTATCACATCCTGAAATCCTGCGCATATATTATGAAACACCCTGTATATTCGCTTTGATCCATGAGGCGTAAGTAGCTCATCATAGTGATGCAACAATCATTTCAATTGCAATTCGGAATTAAAACATGTATGTATTGAAAATCGCTTCAGTAAGATCATATTAATATGGCCCATCCTTCCCTGTATAGCATCGTTGTTTGTCACACTTGTTATTACCAGCTATTTCCCGAAACAAGATTATGATTAGAAAAATAACGACTATCAATGAGGAAAACAAATTCGATTCACCTATAGGACAGACAATCTTAATTAATGAATTTTATCGAATTGAGAAACACTGATATGAATCTAAAACCATTTGGATTTATATCAATGCGTCCCAGTTTCATAGGAATTAATTTATTTTCAATCTATAAACAAGAGCTAATACATTTACAAACAAAACTCCATATCAGTCTGCACGATTGTTATTATCTCTATCTCTTGATCTGAAACACGTTGAACAATGATGTTGCAATAACAAATTACTTTTAAACGCTAGCAAATGTAATGTAATGAGATATATACACTCAAAAATCAATCCAATACAACTCTTCAACGGCCACATTTACCGATTTAGGTGTCATCTTTGACACATACAATGTATGGATTCATAGATTAAATTTTTTTTACTATAATCCTTCATAGGTTATTTTGACGTCTGAATATGACGATTTATGGCTGTGACATTTTGACGTCTTGTCGAGGTCTTCAAGACGTCATTTTTGGACGTCATCTGGTCAGTTTGTTGACCAAATTAGGTCATCCTCTGGACGCAATGTGCTACCCTGGGATCTTCCGATCCACTAGGAAGTATTTGGAAATATTCTCATTCTTCAAAAAAAAAATCAGCCAGATATCATTCATTGCTCGATCTCTGCGATTAAATCTTTTTATCCCAGTTAAGTTCTTGCCTATGCCTATGAAAATCTGTATTATAGTAGTTATACTCATTTTCCTGTTCTGTAGTTGGGTTCAACCTGTAGAACAGTGCAACAATAAATAGATAAATAAATAAATGAATGGATAAATAGATGAATTAGCGAAAAAGTAGTTTTAGATTTATTCATTCACAATCCCACATGAAATGAATAACTGAAAAATTCATTGAGGAATCAAATAGATAATAATACAGAAAAAAATGTGGACTATTCAGTGCAAGATCATCAGAGGAAAAACGATGATTGATAACATTATGTACATCGTTACTTTCATTGCCGTAGCACCGGAAGGAGATATTCCAAAATGACGTTCCAAGTCCTCTTTTATGTTCGATACCCATTGGAAATTTCTTTGCGCTTTAGCGAGAGCTTTTTCTGATGCCAATCTAATAGACGAGTTCGAAGGTTGTTTATCGATGAATTCTTGAAGCTAAAAACGAAGCATACGATGAGAAAATAACTCTCAACTCATATACAGGGTATCTAAATAACACCGAAAAAATTCAAGGGGTGTTTTCTTGTGACATATACTAGCAAATAAAGTTCACATAAACTTGTGTCGTAACTTGCTCCGTTTTTGAGACACAGGATGTTGAATTTGGAAGTCATGATTGTTTTTATCCCCTGTATGAGCTTTCATGGTGCCAGAATTCAGTATGGATGGAGACTGAGAAAGCTCCAATGTTTCAAAATCTTGAAAATACCTACATTTAAAGTTGGAGTCGAATCGAATTTTCATTGTTTCCTCAAAAACTAAGCTATATACAAAAATCACACAGAGGATGAAGTTATTTCAATAGTTCAATCTAATAAGAATATGAAACGTTTTATTGAAATTGATGAACAAACAATTGAGAAAGGAATAGAACAAATATTTTTCCTGAAAATATTAATCCCCTGTATCTCGAAAACGAAGCAAGCTAGAACACATGTTTATATGAACTTTATATCCTGAATCACCCCTTGAAATTTTTGTTATTTAGATACACCCTGTATACACTGTGCCCAAGGATGGCCAGTATGGGCATCACGAAAAATATGAGAGATATAAATTTGGTTCAATGGGGAAAAAGTTGGGCAATTGAAGGACCAACAACATGACTTTCAAAAATCTATAATATGTATTTCCAAAGAACTGAATTTCCGGATAATCAATTTGATTTTTTTCTGGCGTTGATAATGAAGTTATGACAAAACTGAAAAAACTTCTCTGCTGCAACTTTTGATGCCATTCAATTTGGCATCATCAATCTTCTGATCCAACGTTTCGTCTTTGAGACACAATCATCGGTTTCATTTTTCCAAATACATACCTGACATTTTCTCAACTGATTCGAATAGTCTTTTCCATTCTGATTCCGACAATATGCTACTGGCCGAAATAACACCCTGGGGACCCAACAACCTAGTATACCTGATATAACAATGTCTGCTACTACCATTCCCACCAAGACCACTATATCTATGCTCGGTATTTTTTTTTTGAACCAACCCCTAGAAGTCGAAACTTCAGGGGTCAGGAAGAGCCGGACCTACAGCTTATAGTGGAATCCGAACCACTTCTAGGGCATCGAGGAGCTGCCAGGATTACAACCATGAATCACAAATTTTGAAGAAAAATGCTCAGCCGATAGCCGGATTCAAACCGACAGCACCTTCACTAACTCTTCGACCACATTAGAACAACGTAGAAAAGTCGGCGACTTTTCACTTTCCTATAGATACTTCCACGGGAAATGTTCCTCAGAAATATCTGCTATAATTCCATCAGTAACAATACCAGTCACATTATTGGAATTTCCTTTCGTGCGCTCCGATTTCTCATAATTCTCTGAAAAAGTTCTTGAAATTCACTCCAAAATGATATCAAAGAAGACCTGGATAATTTGACACTGGCGGAATTTCAGGACTGATGATTTCAGCGGGATGTTGTACCTGCACATATCTCGAGAGCTGCTAGAGATTATCTCTCACTCAACAAGAAGAGTGATCAGCACGTATGAAATGCCCTGGCCAGCTCGTTTACCCGAATTGACCCCACCAGACTTCTTTCTCTGGGAATATCTCAGTAAATATGTTTAAGATCGAGCCTTCGAAACAGATCAACTCAGAATACTGGTTTTTCAAGAATTTCAGAGCATAAAGCTAGGAATGCTAAAGAATGTTTTGAATTAAACAGTAAGAAGATGTTAAGCATGCTCAGAAACGAGCTAATAAAGCAATGGCAATCTTTATGAACATCACTTGTTTTGTATCTGATAGTTTTGACGTTTGAAGAAGTTTTTGATCTGTGAATCAGTTAATTTTTATTAAATTATAGATCATTCAAGTATTCTGAAATGCGTATTGATGTTAATCTAGCATTGTTGAATGTTTGATTCGATAAATCAACCGTTTTCCACAAAATTATGGAATATTAAGGTCCGTATTCCAAATATTACTTTATGATGGCCAAAATAATCACAAAACGCATCAAACCCCAATATGTAGCGAATCGTCAAAATGAGAATGGAAAGGACTATTCGATTCTGATATCATGATATCAGGGCCGTATTTGAAAAAATTAAGTTGATGATGCTTGCTCAAAGAAGAAACGTTGGTTCATAAAATGAATGATGCCAAATTGAATAGCATGGAAAGTTACCATGAAGATGTTTTTTCAGTTTTGTCATAACTTCAATATCCGGAATTTCTGTTTTTTAAAAATAACTCAAAAACGAAAAGTCCTATCAGAAATTTCCGTAAGTCCTTTTGTTGACCCTTCAGTCGCGCAACTTTCCTCTTATCTAACCAAATATGTATCTCACATAGTTTCCGAGTTGCCCATACTGACCCTCCTTATCTTGGGGACAGACACCTCACCTTTTTCAATTGAGCTTCAGAAGTGAATCTTTCAATTATAGCAGGCATAAGATTCGAGGCCTTTGAAAAACTGAAAATAGGATGATGATTATTCAAGGAATATCAGAGTATTCAGAGTAGACATTTCTGTATGTACTCACTAGGTGTATATTTGGGGGTGATTCTCAGACAAAAAGTCGAATGCAACATCCACTCCTTCGGCTGAGTTACCATAAACTGACGCCCACAAATCAGGCAGATCTTGTATTTTGATACCAGATGAGGCATTCACAGATTGTTGTAGATAACTGAAACCATCATATGTATACTATGTAGCTACAAGGGGATAACCACAAGATACTTACAGTTTTAGATGTTCCGTGCTCCTCGTACATCCCAGTGAAGTGATCAAATTTGATAGTTCGTTCGCTTGAGTAGTTGTTTTCAGTTTACCCCAAAGGTACTCCCAGTCAGAGTCAATGTTATCGCTGTATCGCAATGCATTACAATAAACAATAGACCGAACATTCTTGTTGATGCTGAAAAGGTATGTTGATCAAACAATACATTATCTGTTGAGAAATTGATGTACCTGACAGTCCCGTTCTTGTTATCACGGAACAACTCTTTTGAAATCCTGACACAACTCTCATCTCCGAGTTTACAAGCAAGATTCAATACCTTTTGTAGTTTGAGCGTATGTAAATGCTGGGTATCATTGACATTCTCAAGACTCATATCTGTCTTCACACCTTCCATGAGATCTAATACCATAGACCGCACTTTCTCGCCTAACACTGAATTTTCTCCTAATCTCAACAGAAGATAGTTGAAGCCTTCGATTGCTGAGTACCAAGGATAGTAACAAGTTTCATATCTTAGGTAGGCTAAGGTTTGAAAAGCATCGGAATACCGAATTTCATTTGATCTTGCCAAATTCAGAGAATCGTCGACGATTTGTGCTCTGTTGATTCTATCGATAAGAGTGTGGTTATTTTGTAGAACTAATTGAATCTTGTTCCATAAGGAAGTATCATAATTCACTCTGTAATAGGCTGCAACGAAAATAATTCGGAAACTTAGGGGACATTTGATACATGGGAATACGTACCACTAGCTTTGTTATTCAAAATAATCCATTCATTATTATCTAGAACATTGGGTATCCTAAATGTTGAATTAGGCGTCATCCAGATATCTGCAGAAACATTATCGAATTTTTTTGCATCTCCAGAACGGGTGAATGAAATGGGAATATACCACTGGGTATCGTCAGATTCGGTATAAGAAAATCGTTTCTGAAAAATGATATACATAATTATGTTCGCTACATCTAACGATGTGCAGAAGAAGTTATTCTTTATTTCACCTGTGTCAATATTATGTCATTGCCAACAGAAGACACCGTCACTAAAGGAAAACCGGCTCTGTTCGACCAACTATCAATAACTTCGGCGAAAGAAACATTAGAGGGCAAATTCTCTGAGGGGGTATAATTTGCCATAACGTTCCATAATTTTTCAGGCACACTCGAAGAAAAGGCACTTGAAAGAAAATATTATTCCTTTTATCAATATAAATAAAAGATGAATATGGTGATAGATGATGTTTGATTTAAATAGGAATATCTTACAGCACAACATTACTCATAAGCAGGATGACGCACACATTGGCCATACAAATCACCACGTAAAACAAGAGGGAAGAATGTAACCTCTGAAACAAATTAGATTGCATATTTTTGATTTTTTCAAATCCACTCACTTTTGCCTCAGATAATCCTTCAAGGAACTGGTGAAATTATCGCTTCCCATAATATTCTCCAGCATTCTTATAACGCTAGCTCCTGAAATCAGAATAGTTGAGAGTGCACACATAAAACTGTACTAGCTAGTATACCTTTGTTATAGGAAATTGATCCAAATTTCGATGAGATTTCAGACGGTGTAGTAGATTTGGACGTCAATGGGTCGGAATCCATCAAGGCATCTACCAAAAAAGCTGTTTGTTGTTGCTCGACCACAAACTGTTTGTCCATTTCATACTCGACTAATTCAGGAATCTAGAAAATTAAATTTTTCATCCAGCTCAGCTGAAGGGAAAAGGGAATGTTGTTCACCTTTGTTAGTATGAAATATTGGAAATATCTAGCGAAACCTTCATTCAAAAATGTGTAGTCCCACCAATCCAGAGTTACTAGATCTCCGAACCACATGTGAGCAAATTCGTGAGCAATGATTGCTATCACCTTTTGCTTCATTAAGTTTGAGGTATGATTCACGTTGTATAGCAACGCATATTCCCTTAAAAAAAACATTATAACACGATGCTTATTCAACCTGAAATCCATCCATACTTATATGTTACCATTCCCCAGTTTTCCATAGCACCAGCATTGAAATCGGGTATGGCCAGTTGGTCAATCTTCGAAATGTTCATATCCCCATATTTGTATCCTAAATGCTGTCCATATGCGTTCATTATTTTAGTTCCGAATTCCGCAGCTAAAGACCTATCAGGCGTAGTTTCTGGTCTGGAGCAAACCCGATGAGGGATAATATCGTCGACATTCCCTCCAAGAGTGCAATTGAAATCAGATACAGTAAAGGCGACCAAATAAGTCGACATCAATGGCGTTTTAGTGAATACTGTAATAGTATTATTGTCGGTACCACTGAAAAAGATAGTTGCCATCAAAACTCAATTCTCACTTTATCAGAAGCTGTTCTGTTACTCACTTAACTAAAGATTCGGTACTGATAGGTGTGTTACTTATAGCCTGTAGTCCTTTGGGATATGTGATTGTGAGCACAAATGTAGCTTTATATCTAGGTTCGTCGAAACATGGAAATGCTTTTCTCGCATACGTTGATTCAAACTGGGTCGTTACCAAATATTTTGTGGTACCTGAGGGATCTTTGTACTGGCTTCTGTAAAAGCCCAGCATGTTGCTTGTGTCAAGTTGACCGGTGTATTCTACGACTAGGGCATATTCAGTGGAACTGTTCAAAGGTGTCGTCAGATCAATAGTCAGAATTTCTGTTGTTGAATTTAGAGTGTAGTTCAGGACAGAAACGACTTCTTGTAATAATCTCACTTGATGGATGGTCACTGCAGAATGCAATTTGATTTGATTAGTGCTCTTAGTCACCTGGAATTTAATCATGACGGATCCATTGAAAGAGGTATCATTCCCTTGGAATACTGAATTTGATAAATAAAGATCAATTTCATATTCAGACGGGATTTGGGTTTCTGGCAAACGGTACCCGTTTATCGCTTTTGCTAGCGTTATATGAAGTAATATTGCCAAGAGTAGAAGACGCATTTTTGGCCTGTCCTAAAAATAATCAAAAACTCAAAAATAGGTTTTGAGTTTCTAGAAAGACTTACCTTCGAAAGTACTAATCCTTATAGGATAAATGACACCAGAACACTGTACATTTTCCGCAATGAACATGAGATATCATGCTAGTGTTATCTTAATCATAATCTGGTATTATTTGATAAATCAGTGTACTTATAATTATGTATGCATGATTGTTGCTAAAACTATTGTAAACCCAAATCTTTATTAGGCTCATAATGCGGGAATATTTCCAGTCATGAAAAAATATAATCCTTGTTGAAATTTTACAACACATATATAATTTTTTCCAGAATTCGTTATATTTTTCGAGGACAGCTAGATACGAGGATGAATTTGGTGACCCTTGATTTTGACTGCTCCCATTAAATCCACTTTTCCTTTGAAGTGAAATTTGTTCGACGGTCGCATGTCACATGACTTTTGATGTAGATCCTTGTGTGCATTATCGACGGAATTTCCATACCTCTGCCGGATTTACAGTGTCATTCATAAAGTTGGCATCATATTGTAAAAACTTTCAATAATAATTAATTTTGTAATTCGACTTGCTTCAGGACAACATTGTCCCAAACTCTGGTTAGATACATGACTTTGCATTTTAGTACTGAAAAAATCAATTTAAATAGAGTATGATAGACCGTACTTTGCATCAAACATAACAAACTTTTTAAGCGGGGATTATCATTTTCTGAAGAAAATCATATTTTTGTCGATAATCAGTAATTCAAAGTAAGTAATCTACTAGTAATCGGAGATGAATTTTTTCAATTTTACGGACAATTCATAGAAATCGAAAAAAATTTCAAGAACTAAAAGTTGTCAGAGAACGTTCAAATTCAAGACACATATGTAAAATTGGATAATAAACAAATTTTTTTCCGTAAACTTTTTCGAAATTCAAACAAAGAATATGCCTATTTTCAGCAATATATTTTTTCAAGCAAAACTCAACATCCAAGTCGATGTTCGAAATGAATTATTATTAGAAGATTTTTCCACATGGTGCCGACTTTATGAATGACACTGTATGTTCTATCACGAAAGACACAGTTCCACAATCCTGTGGAATTTGTCAATCTGCGACTGTTAATTCGATATAAAGAACTTGGGGGTTTCGCTGATATTTCCATTGTTGGTGGTTGACGAACAAAATTGAACAATGAATTCGTGGAATTGGAAATAATTAAAATTTGATCAGTGGCGTAGAAAATATGGGAGGAAAAGTTGCCACAACCCCCTGTGGGGCACCACTGGATAAAATGTCCGGAATGGCTTCCTGGTAAAAAAATTACCCATTCAAAGATAAAACCATATACCGAAGCTGAATGCATTATATTCAATTCTTCTTGAGTAGGGTTTCATCGAGACGAGAAATCTCGTCTCGAAGGAACTTTCTCGTCTCGTCTCCATCATCGAGACGAGAAATAAACAAACTCTCGTCTCGATGTTTTTCTCTAAGACAATTTCTCGATCTCGATTCGAGACTCTCGAAATTTCGAGAGCAGTAAAGGAGCATCTAATAAGTAAATCATATTATAATCTTCAGGAATTTTTTGATGATAGGTCTACTAACTAAGAGTACGAGGTAACTCCCGATTCTAGTCTTATACTTTTATTATCATACATGCATGTCTACCTTGTTCTATTCACGCATACATTGTTCTGTTATTATTTAATTTACCCTAGTGTTATTTTGTTCACTTATACATTGTTATTGTTTTCTATTTTATTGTGACATATCTCATTATTTATTTATTTATTTTGAGTGTAAAAACGAAATTCATAATATATTTTATATTATCATGGTTTCTTCAAGTATAAGTATACTATGTATTTCCTCACTTTGTCAATAAGAAATTATTCTTGGACAATAAAGTATATTATTGATTGATTGATTGATACGTAGCTCTGAGGAATAAAAAGTTTCTAACAGTGAACTAATTTGGATTAGTAATTCAAAATACTAAAATGAAATTTCTCGCTGAAACAAGCCCATTAGTGAAACTCATTAGTGGGTATTGTATTATTATCAGGGAAGCTTCTTGTGAAATTTTGTTACCTATCAAGCATTCTCTCCTGTTACATTCGATGGCATATACCTACCAGAAAGTTTATTCATCATTTGTGGCATTAATAATTCAGAAAATGAAATGTCTGAGTTATTAGTCAAACAATCAAGCTAAAATCCGGCATCAGCTGCTATGCTAACGGAAGGGGTGAATAAAAATAGCATAAAGTTGTCAACGGACGAATAAACTTTATACCACCTCACCGACACACTGAAGTCATAGACAGGGGGTTTATTTCTGATTGGACCTATTCCTCAAGGGAATAAGTTACGAAAACATCTAAGTGTTCGGAGTTTGGTTGTATAACATATTTATGTCACAAGTAAGCGTAGATACTGGAGAGAACGAAATAAATCAATCAGAATGAATTTCAACATTCGTTTATCCTCAAAATGATTATAATAGATTCGTCGATATATTATTCAGAATCTATTAAGCGATAGAGAGGAAATCCCTATAATGTTCGAAGAGCATCGTGCGTTCCTAGGGAGGATAGGGACAGGAGGTAGGTATTGGAATTTTTTTTGAACTTCTGGAGATTATATGTTGTTGGGAATACTTCCTCAGGCAATGAATTCCAGAGCCCAGCCGTTCTATGGAGTGTGCTGTTCGACATCTTTCGAGGTTGACAACGAAAGGATGTGCTGACTGGGCTTGTCTAGTTCGTCTGACTGGTCTTGCTAGTGAAGGGATGATAGCAGAGATTTCTGAAGAACATTTCCCGTGGAAGTATCGATAGAAAAGTGAAAGGACGCCGACCTTTCTACAGTGTTACAATGATGTCAAAGAGTGAGTGAGTGTGGCGTCACCCACCAGGCGAATGGCTCATCTCTGGATGGAATCTAAGAGCATCAGCGTATGTTTTGGTGCTGAACCCCATATTTGAGAACAGTATTCTATAACAGGCCGTATCTGCGCTTTGTAGATCATGAGAAGCTGTTGAGGTATAAAGTAGCTTTTCGCACGGAACAAGAATCCAAGTTTTTGTGAAGCAGCTTTTGCGATGGATCTGACATGATTATCCCATGAAAGAGTGTTGCTGATGGAAATACCGAGCATAGATATGGTGGGCTTGGTGGGGATGGTGGTACCAGACATTACAATATCGGGCACACTGAGTTCCGCCTTTCTAGAGAAAATACAGGCTTGAGTTTTGGTGGCGTTGAATTCAACTAGGTTGTTGGTTTCCCAGGCTGTGATTTCAGCAAGGTCTTCATTGACAGCATTGACCTGCCTGCGCCGTGAGTTCTTAGTTTCCTGGGAAGAAATGGGAATTCTGGAAGAGAACGCAGTATGGAGGGTACTATCATCTGCAAAGCTGTGGATGGGGCAAGTTGTTACTCCCAACAGATCATTGATATGAAGAAGGAATAATGTTGGTGCCAAAATTGATCCTTGTGGAACGCCGGAATTGATGCCTGAAAGAAAACTCGAGGAGTGACTGAATTCCGCCCTTACATATCGTCTGATAAATTGTGTACCATCGAGGTTTTGATTATTTTGTAATTTGGGCAATATGAATAAAGACATATTATTATTATTATTATTATTATTATTATAAGAGATGGCATAGCTGAGGTGGTAAGCCGTATGATGGTAGTTTGTGGAGGAGTCCTTCGTGCCAAACACGGTCGAATGCTTTCGATTTGTCCAACGCGACAGCTAGAGATTCCCCGTGTTTTTCTAATGGAGCTTGCCATAAATGGGTGACGTAGGCAAGTAGATCTCCAGTAGATCTTCGGTGGCGAAAGCCGTATTGTCTATTATTGATGATTCCTGAGCTCTCCAGATATTTGGTATGCTCAATATTAATGGCTTACTGATAACAGGGCAATGGGCCTGTAGTTGTTGGGCAGGTTCTTGTTCCCTTTTTTGGGGATTGGTTGGACTCTAGCTGCCTTCCAGCTTGATGGAAGAATACCCGACCCAGATCCGACCTGTACGAGACGGTAAACAACCTGCAGAGAATCGGTGTTAATTCTGGTGCACATTTTTTGAGTATAATGAGTGGAATTCCATCAGGACCGTTAGCCTTATTCGTTTTGAGACCAAGCTCTGATATAATGACAAACAGCTATGTCGAGGATCACTTTGACAGATCAATATAATCATTCTATCAAACCTGTATCACAAATCGAAGAGGAAATTCATGCCAATCACTATGAAATGAAAATACCAACGAAATACAGGGTATGTCACACTATCTTTATATCGAGAATCATTCGGGAGAAATCCATAAAAATGTGCATGCTTTTATTTTAGAATACGCTCTCTTGATTTAAGATATTTTCGACATTGCAGTGTTGCCGCATCTACTAGAAAGTAGTAGCAACATTGATATTTCGAATGGAAGACCCTGTATTTCATCGCATTTTTAGATCTTCCTGGAGGGCTGATTTTGATCAATATTCCACATTTCGGGTCTATCGAAAAAGATTACAGAGATATAGGGTGTTCAAAATCGAGATTCTTCAACTTCAGGATTTTTTTTGAGTCGAAACTATTCATCATCATTAGTGTAAGCTCGTAGTGACATACCCTGTATATACGAAAATTAAATCTGCTATGTTTAGTAGGAGACAAAACAACGTCCAATTTCACATGGCATCATCAAATTGATGTTGTACAGTCATTTCAAGATCGCTCAAGGAAAACAAAGCAATTTAGTTGTTAAGCAAACACCATACTGATCCAAATTTGCAGTTTTAATCTCGCCTTTCTAATAATACGAGTATACTTGAAACATTATAAAATTAATCACGTTTTATAACATTCAATTCAGGGTAATTTTCAACGAAAATTATGTGATATCCAAACAGCTTCAGGAAACGGAATATCGTTTCCTTCAAATCTTCCGATGACTGTAATAACAAAGTTCTCAGAATGCTTTCGAAAAGTCCGGCCATCGCGATGGAGCGTAAATTTTTGGCGAACGCGCGATTTCAGAGTTGGATTGAAGATATTTTCCCAGTTGCCACATCATGAAGACTAGCCGGATC